TCGTATATACTAATAGTTCAGCTTCAATTCTTTTTATAAGAGATCATATTGGCATCATGCCGCATGCATGCAATTTATATACATTTGGATAGGAGTGTAAGAGCAATTGTTCATAGTTCATTTTATACTGCTCATAAAGTCAATTATTTAGTGACATAGTCCTGTAGTTTGATGGGTGGTTTGCACATCCGTTTTGGTCGGTCGTGGATAGCTAATGGTGGCATATCCTTAGCACTATTGTTATTAACGCTTTGTGCTGCAGTTTCTGGTGCTGTGTCTGGACTGATTGCGCTTCCTTGGTTAGTTGGGTTTTGTTGTGGTTTTGGATAGGTTTTTTTTTAATGTTTACCCGGTCTCTGGTGTATTGTATGCCAGAGGGTGTTTCAACAGTGTAATTCCTGTCAGATGTTTTCGATACTACCGTAGCCAGTTGCCATATTGACTTATGTTTCATCTGAAACCTGCATGGTTGTCCAATGTTGATCTTAGGTGGTTGTTTTTCAATATGGCTTTCTCCATATGCCGATGTTCGACGTTCCATATTTTCACCGTACTGTGTGGTAGCTAGTGTTCCAAAGTTGTTTATTGCTGGCAGATTTGTTTTTATGTTTCTGTGTCCGAACATCAAAGTGAAGGGTGAGGGGATGTCGTTTGCAATTGGTGTGTCTCTTAGTGTGCACAGTATTTCGTTGATGTCTGTAAGTCTGCTTTTCTTAAGAAGCTGTTTGACTGTGGCAATGTTCCTTTCAGCTCTCCCATTTCCTGCTTGGTGGTATGGTGCACTGGTAGTGTGTAGTATCTCATATTGTCTGCAGTACTTTTCAAATTCTTCGCTGACTAGCTGTGGTCCATTGTCAGATATTATGTTTTCTGGGTATCCAAACTGTGAGAATATTTTATCCAGTCTGGTGTATATGGTTTTGCTGTTAGTGTTCATAAGCTTTTCAACCCAGACATAAGCTGTATAGTAGTCGACTCAGATTAGGAAGTCTTGGCTCTGTATATCAAATAGGTCGATTCCAATTCTGCATAGGCATGTTAGAATGTAATGGAAGTACAGGTAGCTTCTTCTGGTTGTTCTGATATGTCTGACACAAATCACATTCTGTGATCATTTGCTCTATATCAGCATTTAGACCAGGCCAGTATATGCTTTGTCTCGCACGAAGGCGTGTTTTCTCTATACCCTGGTGTTGCTTATGCAGTATGCTGAGTAGCTTCTTTCTCATGAGTGTTGGAATGACGATTCTGTGTCCCTTGATAACGATTCCATCATACACAGCAAATTCTGATCGGTGTTCCCAGTATGCGTGTGTGAACCTGTTGCATTGGTTTCTTTAGCTAGGCCATCCTTCGATAATGTATGGAATCAGTGCCTGCAAAACTGTGTCTGTTTTTGTACTTTCTCTAATGTTGTCAATGACAAAAGGGGCCATGTTTGACACTTCATGAACCTGCACGTTCATGTCTGGGTAAGTGAACGGCTCGCCTTTTGTTTCTATGCAGCGTGACAGGCAGTCTGCTATGGGAACTTGCTTTCCTGGAACATATTTGATTTTGCAGTCATACCCTTGCAGCTGAAGCATTAGTCTCTGGAGCTGTGTTGGCACCTTTGATAAGTCCTTTTTCTGGATGCTTTCTAAGGGCTGGTGGTCAGTATGTATATTGAAATGTTTTCCAAACACATATGTTCTAAAGTACTTGATTGACCAGATGACTGCTAGGAGTTCCCTTTCTATGTTGCTATAGTTTGATTCTGCGCTTGTCAGTGATTTTGATGCATAATGTACTGGTTTTCGATCTTGTAGAAGCACAGCTCCTAGCCCTTTTTGTGAAGCGTCGCATTCGATAGTGACAACTTCCTTGCTGTTGAAGTAAGCTAGTGTTGGCGCATGTGCGATTTTTTCTTTTATTTTGTTTAGTGCAGCCTCATGCGCGCTTGTCCAAGAGAAGATTGTATCCTTCTGCAAAAGCTTCCTTATTGGTTCAGTGAGTGGAGCGAGCTTGACGAACTTGGAGAGATAGTTAATTAGTCCCAAAAGTGACTGTACTTCTTGCTTGTCTGTGGGGGCCTGCAGTTTGGCTATCGCTTTAACTTTTGATGGGTCAGGCCGTGTGCCTTCTTTAGACAGCATGTGTCCAAAGAATTTGACGCTTTCTTGCAGGTAACGGCACTTTTCACCGTTTAGCTTGATGCCACTTCTGCAAGTATCAAGTTGGACAGCTATGTCATGTTCTGTTTTAGTCTCTGTTGCAACCAATAGATCATCTGCGATGCAGTGTACGTTAGGAATTTCCCAGAAGAGTGTATCCATTTCTTTCTGGAATAGATCTTGAGAGCTTGATAATCCGAAAGCTAGTCATCTAAAGCAGAACTTTCCGTACACCATGTTAAAGGTCGTCAACAGTTGACTATCCTCATGTAGCGGGATGTTCCAATAACCGCTCCGTACGTCAAAGGTGCTGAAGTATTGGCATCCGCTTAGGCTTGGTAATACCTCGTCGAGGGTTTGGGTGCGTCAGAATCGTACTCCTTGGAAACTTCATTTGTTTTGCGACGTTGTGCTTTGTTTTGCCGCTTTTTGCCATTATATTTTCGATCCTGACCTTTGCTATCATGTTGTTTAGGCCTAGATCTACATTTTCTCGCCCAATGGTTCTGTTTACCACACTTTTGGCACTCGTGGCCGAATGCAGGGCATTGCTTTTGTGGGTGATCAAGTCCACAATGTCCACAATTCTTTATGGTTTTTATCGCATTATTCTGAATTTTGTTATCTGTAGATGAATGTCGCTTTTGTTTAATTTCATCAACGGTAGTGCCATGTTTGGCAACTCGCTGAAGTTCGCTAAACTGTTTTTCTGCAGCTTCCTTTGACTGTATATATTTGATAGCATCACTATATGTGTACGTCTTCGCTTGTCGGAAGAGTTTTTTTTTTGTACTGTTTCGGAGTTGGTTCCGAATTTTATAGCTTCCAGTATGTGTTGGTCATGCTGGTTCTCTGGATACTCGCACTCTTTTAGTACAAGTTCGACTCGAGCGACAAAAGCATCAATGCTCTCTTTAGGCTTTTGTTTAATGCTTCTGAAGTTCCAACGTGCCAAATTCCAATTTGTTTTGGGTTGGATAAATGCTTCAAATTTTTCCCAAGGTGTGGAATAGCTTGCCTATCTTTGTTCGTGAGTCTCCTTCTGTTGAGATATTTAAAAATCGTCTCAAGGCTCATCTCTTTAGTTTATTTTAATTTGCAAATTGCTAGCGCATAGAGACCTATTTATTTTTGCGCTATACAAATCCAAATTATTATTATTATTATTATTATTGCAAATGAAAAATTATGCACCTAAATAAGATAGCAGCCATCGATCATTTCTGTTGTAAAATAAGGGTATTTTTAGGCAAGGCTTAGGAGATGTAAACTACTTCCTAATTAAATAAAACTTTTCAAGCAGGTAGATAAAACATTACTTTCCCATGTAACACAGACGAGCATAATTGAAAAAAAATAATAACTTCTGAACTGGACATCCAATTGAAAAATAAAATATATCTGAAGAAAGCTATTGATAAACAATATCTTTGTGTGAAATATCAAGTGTTTTTGTTCTTAAAAACAAGATTAGCAAGAATTAAATACAAAATGAGGAAAGAGCAAAAAAGCAAATTTAAAACACCACTTTACACAGTGTGCAACTACATGCTGCCTGTGTGTATAGGTTCGCACTATTCCATTTTGGGCTTCGTTGGTCCATCCTAATATAATGATAATGTTTAGAAATTCAGATATCATTTACAGTATGCTAGACTGGGCTCCAGTCGCTAATCTTTGTGTTTAAATCGATTTTGGCACCAATGGCGTTCCATATTACCTATTTGCTTGGCGTTTCATAGTACAGTATACTTTTTCTTGGATTAGGGACTGGGCAAACAGTGAGGATTTTGATTGCAGCCACCACGATTTCATGGTAGGTGACGTATTTAACAACTTTGATTTCCGATTGGATAATCACATTGGCATAAATTAAACATGCTAATTATGCTCCACCTCGGCCCAGCTAATGATAAGGAGGATTCAGGTCAGCTCAGGTTCTGCACCACGACGAGTGCTAGGCCCCTAATCACAATTCATCCAACCACGTATGGAGGTAATATTTAGATGCATCTTCACAACAGAAGTGTGCCACATAGAAAGTAACCAACTTCACGCCGGTTAATAACTACAGTATTGTTATCGATAGGCCTATATGATACAGCCAAACTTATGTTCTGCACATTCAGGTTTAGGCCTAGCATTGAGAGAGCATAATAGTCAATAGGCCCTATTCACGTCGGGTTAGCAGACATCGATTGGAAATAGGCCTACATATTAGCTTTAACATTCAGTAATGTAATTGTTGTAGTTAATATAACATTAATAATAATATAAATATTTATTTTTTCAAACTGGCTAAGATTTAGGAACCTCAATTTGCTACGTACGAATGGGTGAATATCATTGTATCTATGGACAATTAATTGCATCCTTTGCATAAGCTGTATTTCCGAGATTTAAACAATGAATAATATTATATCAATTTTTTGTTTTTGCTAATTAACATTTGATGAGAAGCTAAGTAATAAATTATTGTTTATAATGAGAAAGGTTTAATTTATTGTTACATTGTACAGTATGTTGGCCAACAAGGAGGCCTAATTTATTTAATTTCATAATAATAATAACGTTGTATTTATATAGCGCTCATTGCCCCTATGCACTTTACAGAGAAATAATATAGGCCAACTGAGAAAAAGCAAATAACCAAAAATAAAATAAAAATAATCATAATAGCAATAATAACAATGAGACTAAACTACTCCTATTCCTTAAACTAAACTAAACTTCATGACATCCATTTGTTTTACAATACATGTATATTTTAATCTTAAATTAATCACCCTTAATAAATAAAGTAATTAATTAATTAACGATTTAGTTGCATGTATTTGGATTAAAATGCATTATAACTGTCATGGTACAAAACTCAAACTTATTTGTTGAACTTTCAGTCTTTTACCATATATATTATTAACTGATTCAGGAAAAAAATAGTTTTCACTAATTAACAAATAATTTACAATATTAATTACCAGTCAATTTAAGGGTCAATGCAAAAGAATACAGGAAGGATTATACTGTATTTAACAGTTCATTATCATAAGTATATTTCGGTACAATTAATATCGAAATGCACTGGGTTTGGTTTACAGGAGTTTGTGCTTCTCCATCAAATGCTAAGTGTCTCAAGTTTCATAACTCAACATCTAATCAAGTAAAAGGGCTGTGGTAATATCCTCTGTTAATTGACAGAAGTCAGTGGGGATCATCCGGCTGGACTATTCACAGAATATCCATTCCTGCAAAACAATTAAATAAATAGATCTAAACAACAATATCAATTTTAGTCACATTATTAATAATTTCTGCAACATCAGTACCGTATGATATTACTATATGAGATAAACCTGTAAAATATAAACAATAGGCATTTTATAATTACAAATTATATATATATTTTTTTAAATTATGAATAGTTTGTCCAACTATGTCCTAGCCAAATTTTCATAAAAGGCATGACCACTTTCCATAACCATGGCACATTTAACATAGACCTTATCATTATTTTATGATTAAAAAAGTTATATATTATAGTATTGATAAATTATTTAATGTCATAGAGATCCATGTAAAGTGTCAACAAATTTCATTCTGTCTCATAGTGAAAATTTGAATTATTAATAGCAATTAATTATAGGTTAGCCAATATGCTATGGTTAAAATTAGTGTACTTCCTCCAGGTAGAAATAGGGCTGCAACTTTTTGTGAATATCTGGGAAAATATAAATTCCATCATCTGATTGAAAACTGAAGAATAAGTAAAATTACTTATTAAGCA